AGTTGTCTATTGGGTGGATTCTGAAAATAAAGGTAGGAGGTTGACACCGCCATCAATTGCAAGAAACATATTTTCAATCACGGGTCGTTGGATGGGACGCGACGAGTCTCCAACGAGTAGCGCGACCTACGCCGCTGTCACTTATTATACATGTAGGGCATTTGTCTAAATATTATTAACATTTCTTAATTTTAAGGACGGGGAGGCTTGAGAGGGGTGGTGAGAGAGAGGGTCATGGGGTTGGGGAGAAAGTTTATGCTGGCAGCTGACTTTGTTTATACTCTTTGGCAACTGGCAATTTTTTTTGGCGATATTGAAGCATGGAGTTTTCCCAGCTTTTGACAGCCTGTAACATTTGAGATGGAACACCCAAGGACATCACACGCTTGTATGCTCAGATGTTGTCTGAAGACGTCAAAGTGAAACCCACACAGCGCTCATCAGAAACTCTTTTCTTATGCAACAATAACTACCGTAGCAATGGTTTGTGTGTCAAAAGCTTGTTATTTTCAAGAGTTTCCTTCGAGCATAAAAACTCCAACCTCCCATGGTATCTTTTATCATACAAATATCATACATCCTCTCTCGCTCATGACTGCTCACCACTAGCCTCCGGTTTCCACCACTCGTCGACCTCTTTCCCTCTCTGTGCCTTCCTCTGCCGCTTCTTTGCTTCCTTTCTCTCCTTCTTGACAGTCCTTAGCTTCTCCTCGGCTGCTTGTAGGCCTTGGTATAACGCAGGGAATAGACTGTCTTCCCTTCCCTTGCCGGGGTTGGCTATTGGCACTCCGTAGCTAGTGTCTGAGAAGAGCTCGGTGTTTTTGAATGTCCTGTTTTCTGGCAACACCCCGAGCATGTCGAGGAGTTGGTCTGCTTTGGTAGGGAGGAAGGGCTGTAGGAGAATACCGCAAACCCGCAGGCTCTCTGCTGCGAGGCAGACCATTTCGTCGGCGAGATCATGATCTTCTTGGTTGGTGCTCTTTTTTAACCTCCAGGGTTCTATTTCCGAGAGAAGGGCGTTGGCCTAGGGTTATCATGGTTAGAACGGGCTCTCAGAAAGGGAAAAGAAATAGACATACCTGAGTTGCGACCTCCATGATGGCCCGCAGAGCAGAGACAGGATCCAGATTCTCCATGTGCTTGTCCACAATCGCCGGGAGCGTCGCCAAGTTGTCCTCCGGGAACTCTATCCTCCCCCTCGGCGATCTCGAAATAATCTCCTTCAGATCCCAAAGCTTCGACCTCGTTATCCTCGACACCAAATTCCCCACCCCTCCCTGCAAATACTTCTTGTGCTTCACCAGCAAGTTATCATTGTTATAATCCGCATCATTCCCAATCCCCCCCTCGAACATGAGGTAAAACCTCAACACATCCGCCCCGTGCACATTCATGACATACATCGGATTGACCACATTCCCCAAACTCTTACTCATCTTCGTCCTGTTCATCGTCCAGTGAGCGTGCGTGAGCACCTTCTTCGGCATCGGCAAATCCAACGCCAACAACAACGCCGGCCAATACACACAGTGAAACCTAACAATATCCTTCCCAATGACATGCACATCCGCCGGCCACCCACCCACCTCCCTCCTTCCCGGCTGCCAGTTCGGGAACCCCGCCGCAGTGATGTAATTAATCAAAGCATCCACCCAGACGTATATCGTCTGGCTCGCATCCCCCGGCACCCTCACCCCCCAGCTCAACCTACTCGCCGGTCTCGAAATCGACAAATCCGTCAAATGATTCCTAACCCAATCCACCACATCCCCCATCCTCTTCGCCGGCACCACCCACTCCGGATTCTCCCCATAAAACCCCAGCAACCTCTCCCGTAAAGCCGTCATCCTGAAGTGGTAATTCCTCTCCTCCACCCACTCAACCTTACTCCCGCTCTCGACACTGGCCATGAAAACCTCCCCCGTGAAAGCATCCATCTTCTTCTCGATCTGACTTTCTGGATAAAACGCCTCGTCACTAACGGAATACCATCCCTCGTGTTTACTCTCGTATATCAACCCCTTTTCTTGCAGCAAAAACCAGAAATGTTCCACCGCTTGGATGTGGTCGGTGTCGGTGGTGCGGATGAAGCGGTTGTACGATATCTGGGCTGTAGAGGCCAGCTCTTTGAACTGTTCGGCGGTTTCGTCGCAGAATTGCTTGGGGTGCATGTCTTTGTTGGAGGCCGCTTGCTGGATTTTCATGCCGTGTTCGTCTGTTCCTGTGAGGAGGATCGCGGGACGGGAGTGGAGGACGGATTGGTAGCGTTTGAGGACGTCGGCGAGGGTCATGGAGTACATGTGGCCGATGTGGGGGGCGGCGTTGACGTAGAAGATGGGGGTGGTGACATAGTAGGGTTTGGTGGGCAAGTCGGTGGTAGAGGAGAGTCGGGGGAGGGAGGTGGTGAATCTTCGAGGAGAGGAGGAGGAGGAGGAGAGGCAGGAGGTACATGTCCAGGTCTGGCGGCGGGTGGTGAGTGACCATTTTGAAGTCGGTAGGCGCCGGAGGGAGGCAGCTTTTAGGAACTCCATTGGTGATGATTTGACCAATTGGTCCATTCCCCTGCGTCGTGGGATCGGTCGGGAGGGTGGGAGTCGGGGGCAGCTGTCCTCGTCGTCGTCGAGGTGAGCTTGGGGTTGCGATTGGGGAAATATTTCGATAAGAGCTCGCGATAAGAGGTACCGAGACGGAAGTAAGTGGGGAGGGGGTTAGGGTTGAACATGAATGGCGTAATTTGCTGAGAGCTTCACTTTTTGCGACCCCGCGCTAATGCGGGGTTAAGCACGAACTTTTTGACTGCTCGAGCAGTCCAGCTTTCAAGTCCAGAACTGTCTTTCATGGTTCGTCCTTGAGATCGTCTCACTTGATCAGATCCGCATATTTCAGATCTTGCTCCTCGGAATTGACATTTTCCTCATGGTGGCTATTCCCACCTCCATCTTGCATCAAATAACAAGGCTGGATGGCCGAGCGGTCTAAGGCGCTAGACTCAAGATCACAGTATCTTCTCTTCTATAGAAGGGTGCATTCTAGTCTCGAAAGAGGCGCGCGTTCGAATCGCGCTCCAGTCACTTACTTTTTCCACTTCTCTCCACTCGGCCTGGATAGGCTGAGAAATGGTGGCATGCTTTTGTCTTTTTACAGGAGGCCCCCGCTGGTGTCCAGTCTGAAGCACTCGTTTATGCCTTCATCCAAAAGAACAGTGTGTTGCGCAGGTTGTGCCTCGAACAAAATGATCCAACAGTTGGCTGCAGTGTTGCTGGATTGTAGCAGTCAGGGGACATTCTGAAGGCTCCGCCTCATGCAAAGAGTCCCTCACAGACCAAGCCATGCAGCCTCGTCAATATCCAGGCATAACATTCCTGGAAAAGGGTCAGATTTTGGACAGCGTTGCGTTAGCTAAGAAATGGCACTTGGCGAATATTGTACTCGAGAGGCACCTGAATGGTCTGGCCCTTTTGGAGGTCGTTTCTTCTCCCGCCAACATGGATCTCGGGTCTGGTCGAGGGCAGTGTCATGCACGACGTTCCAACAGCCTCCTTTTGATAGGTGCTGGGTAACAGGTTGGTTTTGCGCAAACCTATGGGGTTTTCTGACATTGAGATCGGAGATATCGATATGATAATTTGTGATCCATGCATGACCAGAGTATAGGTAGGATGTATCGAATGAGGTTCTTAACATGTTGGGGGTGAGTCGTGGGCTTCATATTCATCTATCCTTTTGGGTATCTCGACTTTCTGCGAGCAATATGCGAGGCTATGTAAGACTGTCTGAGGTATCCGTTACATTTCGGCCCGGAGTCGACCGACCGACCGACCTGTCGTGGGATTCCGATGTGGCCAGGTTGCTATGCCATCAACGACCGCGCAGGTCAACATCTGCTGGTATCCATATGGGGAAAGCTCTTGGAGAAAATATAAAGTCCGTAGAGCCTCACGGAAAGCCTATACTATCAGCCACCTCCGCACCTGCACATTATGGTGGTTTGGCGTGGCTTCTGTCGCTGCCGATGTTTTCTGGAAGTGTAAGAGAACGATATGTGATTCCCAAAGAGGCTTAGTGTCGTAGGGCTTAGCTGGTCGTCGGACCTTCGTGAAAATGACCTGAGTTGGTGAAGGCGAGACTTGGCGATTAATGAGCTCAATATCTTGCTAGGATCTAGGATAGACCAAAGTCCCAGAAAGATGAAGTTCGAGATGGTGCTGGAGCCATGGCTTCCCTGGAGTTGTTCTCTATCAAGGTGTTGGGGGCGGTTGACGAAGGAGGCCTGGTTTGGAGCGTTGAAACGACCGTCATGTTGGATGTGGCTGGAACATGGCAACCAGCCGATCCGTGGTGATTGGTCCTGTGAGATGACGGATGTGCAGTTGCATGCATCAGGCAAGCATCTCGATGCATAACCACGGCAGGAACACGATAGACAAAGTCGTGGAAGATCATTCGCTGACCACACATGAGAGGATCGTGAGGCATCTTCTCATGAGATTCACCCATCGTTGTCGTTGTCGTCGGTCGGGCCAGAACATGAGCGCGAGAAGCGCCAAGTGGGGTTACCATTATGTCAAGAGATCCCTAGGGGTCCGTGCAGGGGCACTGAGGGGCAGAGCCCAGAAGCTGTGCGGCGGAGGGGGTGATGTGATGAACGATGTCATCTCGCAGAACATTCGAACGCCCCTTTCAACCGGCTGTCAGACAGTCTGATGTTGTCTTTCTCTCGACGGTGCCGCAGACACTTGTTTGTAGCCTCTTGGGCTTGATGGGCTCTGGGAAAGTCCACATCATCAGGCGCCTGTAAGGTAATGTAAACGCTTGTAAAGCGGTCTCTGAGAACCAATAAATATCGTGATTCCGGCCTCCGGGTCCCCATTGCGCAGGCCGCCCCTGCCCAAATCCATCTCCCTTACTGGCGGCCACACTGCAACCAAGGAATACTGCAGCTGGACTGCAGCACCTACCAACCACCACCAGAGGCCCCCCACTTGGTCTTTGCCGTAGCTGTTTGTTTCTCTTCCGCTATTTCCTCCCCGTCCCGATTCTCGATAGCTTCCACTCTTGTCTACTTGCTCATAGCTTGCCCAAACACACCCAACCTCACTTTGTCCAGCTTGAGTCTGTCAAGCGCCCCTTGTACACGCACAACCAAACCCACCACTCCATCTACCCCGCCTTACGATGCATCTACACTAGGGTCAAGCCCGAACCACCCCGCTGGACCATAGCACCGATACACTCTGAACAAAACGCAAGCATGGGCGATAGGAACATCGAAACTCTCCTCAAGACCGGGTCATGGACCATCCCTTCGCGCTCAAGAAGCCCGCATCCGTATGTATATCATGAGACCTTGGAAGCTCATGTCTCTAACGAGAGCAGTGACCGTCGTCCCTATGAAGACGATCAGCCGTCGAGGTCACACAACTATTCATCGTCTAGAGATTACAGCGATAGGCCGACCAGAGAGTACAGCGATAGACCAGCCAAGCCTTACCACGATGAACCGCCCAAAACATACAACGATGGTCCAACTCGATCATACAACGATATCCCCGCGAGATACCGAGAGACACCGTCTTACTACAGCGATGTACGACCGCAATCAAATATCAGCGTCCCCAAGAGCAAACGAGCACCCCGCCCACTTGTCGAAGAGGAGCATGAGTCACTAGCGAAGGAGTCAGCAGAGTCTCTGGCCGGCGTAGTGTCTGATGAGGAACCCCCATACCGCGGTGAAGTTGATCAACAGCCTCTCTTGCTCCCGGTTCACGAGCACAACCCCGAGAGACGATTTGTGATTATTCCTGGAGCCGGGGAAGATGGGTCCGCAACCGAGGATGAGCACTATGAGACCAACACTTGTCGGAAATATGTGATCGTTCCACCAAACGAAGAGGGAAAGGACAAGAAGGAAAGCAAAGATGACAAGGGCGACAGGAAACCTGCCGAAACGGCCAAGAGACAGGAGCTACCGAGACGAAAGAGCCACCAAGATCTGCCCCGTCTGGATACTCACCTCGACGAGCGTGACCAGGATCCGACCGCTCGAGTTCGCCGGTCAAACAGTAGACATGATAGGGAGAAACCAGTTATTGACCAGGACTCTTGGGACCGCCCCAGCGCCCGAGACGAACGAAGCGCGAGACCCGGGCCACCACGGGACGATGAGCTCCTGACGCCTGCCGTCAAGTATTCCAACAGTACAAGGCGGGACCGGGAATATCGGGCTTATGACACTGGAAAAAACCCAGCATCTGCCCGAAGTCCCTCTACCAGAGGTGACCGGGTCGATCCGAGAACTACATCTGACAACCGAGGACCATCAACTCGACTAGATCCTGGTTATCCCCCTAGCGCCGGAGGTCATAAGAGAGCATCCTCCACTGTCAGCGGACCCCCCCGTGATGACCGAACTCGAGACAGGCCGCGGTCGATGGTCTACCCTATTGGAAATTTTGAAGGCTTTGATGACGGCGGTGCTGATGACATCATGTCGTTCATGGCGCCCGGCATCAACTTTGATCCATCACGGAAGAAACCCGAGACCTCACCCCAAAGAGGGCCTCAAAGTTCTCAACATCGCAACCACCGTGCCGGGGAAGGCATGCCAATCCCTCAAGCTTATGTTGCACGCCATGGCCGTTCCAACACTCGCGAGAGGAATGACTATTCTAGTGATGATAGCCACCGTGGACGTCGGCAACCCCGGGGAGAACGGCCATATCCAACACATCCGTCGATGGAGCCGGAGTATCCTCCAGAGATGGTTTCACCTGAGCAAGCCAGAGTACCGAAGCCAAGGACCGGCTCGCCCTTGCCTTTCCCCACTGATGATTCACCAGACCCTAGTCCGCAACACGCAACTTTCCCAAGACACACCCGAGGCAGGTCGGATTACCGCTCAAACTCACCCTCGCCGCCCAGACGGAGAGGTACGGGGCATGGCCGAGATGCCAGCATGAGCACCTCTTCCCAGCCCGGATCGATGGCAGGCTCTCTTGGAAGGACCAACGGGTTGGACAGCAGAAGACCGCAGGCCAAGAACCCAGCAATCGGCATTCTGCGACAAGAATCGTCTCTTGATCCCAAATCACCAGTGATGTATTGGCAAAAGGGCCGTTTTGATCCTCTTGATGAGACTTCCAGCCCGGCCGCCCAGGTCATTTCCGTTCGCCGGTATCTGGAGGACGCAAGCAAGGGGTTACTTCCTCAGTTACCAACCTGCCACTTCCAGAACCCCACCTCGCCGTACAAAGCATCCGAAGCCGGGCAGTGGATGACGCTCCAACGCGCAGAGAACTTTATCATCTGTCCCGACTGCTACAAAGATGTCTTTGCCAATTCTACATACCAACATCTGTTCCTCCCTGCCCCGCCACCCCAGCAGCCTGTATCGTGCGACTTTGGTAGTCAGTTCTGGTACCGTATCGCCTTTATCCTCTCGTTGAAACACAACCATACGGACCTTCGCCTGTTGCAAGCTGCCTCCCTGGTCGCTGCTCGGCATCAGCCCTGCGCTGGAGGTGTACGAGCCACGAGAATCTGGTACGGCATTCTGTCGCCCAACTCGCGACATCCGCGCCCCATCCCGGGGTTCGAAGTCTGCTCTTCGTGCGCCAAAACCTGCGAGGCCTTGCTGCCCAACTTGGCGGGGGTGTTTGTCCCCTTGGATAACAATGAGCCGATGAAGGGCACATGTGAAATGCATTACTCCCCCGATAGAAAACGGTTCATGGATCTGTGGGACCATCTGGAGGGGGTGAGCGATCAGGCTGTAAAGATGATGATGGCGCCGGACTTGGTGCTGTTGGCGGACAAGGTACGGGATACGGTTCACTATGAGGAGTGCAAGAGGAACACGCCGTTGAGAAATAAGAAATGGTTCATGATGGAGAGACTGCCGGAGATGACGGTTTGTGGGGAGTGTTTTTGGGAGGTGGTGGTGCCGTTGCTGGAGCAGGGCAGACAGGATGGAGGGGATGTGAAGGGGGAGATCCCGAGGAACTTTTACAAGCACATGCAGAGGGTGGAGGGGCTGGCGAGTTGTCAGTTGTATAGTGAGAGGATGAGGAATGTGTTTAGGCTGGCGGCGGAGCGTGCGGATTGGAGGTTTTTGGAGAAGGAGGTGTTGGAGAGGATGAGGGCGATTGTGGAGATTGAAAAGAGGTACAAGGTGTTGATGGAGATGAAGAGGGAGGGGGCAGATGAGGAGATGGTGGAGGGGGAGGTGCAGGAGTTGATTAGGAAGTTGAAGGTTGTAGAGTAGAGGAATGGTTTCCTTTGTGAATATTTTGTTCGAAGACATAGAGGAGGCAAGATACCAGATATGTTTACGTTTGAGAGATAGTTTACAGAGTTAGGAGAAAGACAGAAGAGAGACCACTCCTAACGCCGCCAATGCTTTTCATCGATGGTGAATTGATGGCGGTTGATGCTGATTTAGGAAGTTTGATGATGATGAAAGTGAGGACGGTGCTGCCGGCTGCCTGCCAGCCGAGTTGCCAGCTGGGCTCAGGTGGACCCCCACCACCCTTTCGGCCTAGCGCAGATTAGGGCCAGTGGGTTGTGCACTGGCGACCCCACGGGCACACGCTCTGCGAAATATTGCAAAATTTCAATTGGAGCTGCAGCTTGGTCCCGACTTTTTCGAACTTCAACAACCAGCCCACCGACCAGGTAAGCAAACGCCCTTCCTCCTGTCCAGCCCGACGAGAAATTGCGGAAGCTCTCCCAAAATCAACATCCAACTGATTCGGACCCAAAAACTAACAGCCTCTTTCGACACTTGTCCCAGCACCGGACAAGATGGCCTCCAGACCGACTGTCACCGTTCTCGGCGCCGATGGCAAGGCCACCGGCGCCACTGAGGTCCTCCCCAAGGTCTTCAGCGCCCCTATCCGCCCGGATATCGTCAAGCACGTCCACACCGGCATGGCCAAGAACAAGAGACAGCCCTACTCCGTCTCCGAGAAGGCTGGTCACCAGACCTCTGCCGAGTCTTGGGGCACTGGTGAGTCGCATTCTTTATGGGTTGTGGGAATCGGGGGAGCACGAGAGAGAGAGGGGGAAGGAAATATGGGGTTGGGCGGTCGATGGAGACGAGAAAACGAGGAACACCATGCGAGACGAAAACGAGGGGGGTGTGGGTGGGGGGAGGGGGAATATCGTCAAAAAGTTGGGTGTGGAATGCTGATTGAGGATGAAATCTAGGTCGCGCTGTCGCCCGTATCCCCCGTGTCTCCGGCGGTGGTACTCACCGTGCCGGTCAGGCCGCCTTCGGTAACATGTGCCGTTCCGGTCGCATGTTCGCCCCTACCAAGATCTGGCGCAAGTGGCACGTCAAGGTCAACCAGGGCCAGAAGTATGTGATATCGAAATTCCGTGGAGATATGGGACGTTGGGTTTCTAACAGGTTTTGACAGGCGTTTCGCTACCGCTTCCGCTCTTGCTGCCTCTGCCGTCGCTCCTCTCCTGATGGCCCGTGGCCACCAGGTCTCTACCGTTCCCGAGGTTCCCCTCGTCATCGACTCCGCCGCTTTCGGTGTTGCCTCCAAGACTGCCGCTGCCGTCGGTCTCCTCAAGGCTGTCGGTGCCGGTCCCGAGCTCGAGAAGGTCAAGGCTTCCAAGAAGCTCCGTGCCGGTAAGGGTAAGCTCAGAGGCCGCCGCCACCGCCAGCGCCGTGGTCCTCTTGTCGTCTACTCTCCCAGCACCGACGGCAAGGAGCTCGTCCAGGGCTTCCGCAACATCCCCGGTGTCGAGACCAGCCCCGTCGATGCCCTCAACCTCCTCCAGCTCGCCCCCGGTGGCCACCTCGGTCGCTTCGTCATCTGGACTTCCGCCGCCATCAAGGAGCTTGATGCCGTCTACGAGTCCAAGAAGGGCTTCTTCCTCCCCTCCAACGTTGTCGCCAACGCCGACCTTACCCGTCTCATCAACTCTTCCGAAATCCAGTCAGTCCTCCGCGCCCCCAAGGGTGAGGCCAAGACCAAGCGTGGCCACGTGCTCAAGAAGAACCCTCTGCGCAACAAGCAGGTTCAGCTCCGCCTTAACCCCTATGCCGCCACCTTTGCCAAGGAGAAGCTCGGCGAGGTCAAGGAGGAGGGCAAGCCTGTTCGCGTCAAGGCTGACTTCCTCGGTCAGCTCAAGGAGTAAGCTGCTGGTGGAGTGGAAAAGGGAAAAGAGCGACTGGTTGTGGGTACTTTTATCGGCGTAACGGATAATGGCATCTACGCGTCACATCAATGAATTCTGATACCAGATTTTGGCCAGGTGGCTGTTGTGATTGGTGACGTGTGACCATGCATGATGATTTTCAGCGTAGCAATAAGACTTTGTCTGAGCCTCACGATATGCCTGTCCAGAGTTTTGATTGTTACTTTGTGTTGTACGTCTTTGGGGATTTTGCAAATATCCAGTTCATCCGACAGCCGTCAAAATGCCATCAAAAGGAGCCAAATCCAGTCATGAACAATTACCAGGCAGTACTTTGATATCCGTTTCGAGGTAATATGTGCTTGATTATGTCTGTTCCTTGTCTACGCTAGATATCGTATACCGTGACTGTATGTACCCTGTCTCCATGTGTAAGGTATGTTTGTGTATCGCTCGAAGAATATATATACGTTTCTTGAACCCCCTTCCCGTTTCCCAGCCTTTGTTTTTTCCATCTCAAATCCCCACCTCCTTCCCCATCTGAACCACCATCACGTCACCCTCCTCCAAATCCGACGACGACGCCGAGGGTGAAACTGGTGATATCCGCACGTCCTTTTCTTTTGCATCATTATCATCCTCCCCCCGGCAGAGTAGGATCTCCCTCAACCGCTCCCGCTTCTGCTCCCCGAACCCGATGGCATCCAGGTACCCGTCCACGCCCCCGTAGGTTGCGTCCAGCCAGGAGATCACCGACGATACCATGGCTTGGTCTGTCTCGGCGAACGAGTCGGGGAGGCCGACCTCGCGGACCTCGGCGAGGCGGATGGAGCGGATGAGGGGGGAGGTCGAGTTTGTGAGGTGGTAGTCGTGGGTTATGGCTTGGACTGGGGTGTGGAGGATGAGGAGGATGAGGAGGGCCAGGAGGCCGGTGCGGTCTTTTCCTTGGGTGCAGTGGATTATTTTGGGATGGCCGGAGAGGCAGGAGGAGAGGCAGAGGGAGATGGAGGGGGAGGAGTGGGAGAGGGTGTTGAGGGAGAGAGAGGGGAGGCCTAGCGGGCCGAGGGCGTGGGTTGAGATTAGGGAGATTGCGTGGGGGCGGGAGAGGGGGTAGAGGAGGAGGAATTTACTGGGTTCTCTTGTCAGTTACCGGGGGGGGGGCGGTATAGAGAGGTTGAAATGATAGGATGGATGAAACGTGAAGATGAGGCTGGTTTTGAGGTCTTGATGGTGAAATAGGTCGAGGTAATAGAAAGGGTGTCTTACAAGATGTTGAACCAGGATAGTTGCCAGAGGAGGAAGAGCTCGAAGCGGCGGGAGGGGAGGATGATGCGGGTGTAGGTGATGCCGGGGATTTTGAGGGGGAGGTTCTTTTGGAGGAATTTGTGCTTTTCTTGGGCGATGAGGTGCTCGGTTCTGTGGGGAGGTTAGTATGAGATTAGATGAGAGACATACAACAGCATTATGTGGAAAGCAGTCTGTCTAGGTATACATGACCCAAGACATTGGCAACGTGACCAGTGTAACATGAACAAAAAGTACATTCAGAGTTCATGATCAGAAGAAATGATAGTAAATAGGGGCAGTACTTTGACCGGAGATCAATCACCGATTTGATGCCATAGACCTCTGTGAGACGGATCCTGTCTTTGTACGAAGCATCGTCCAATTTTGCCGAACGGAAAAGAATGCCTTCTTTGAGTACTCTATGGAATCAATGTTAATCACACTGCATCTACACGACTTGTAAGAATGTGGACATCTCTACCTCTTCCCCAGAAATGCATTCACCGTCTTGCCGACATCACGAAAGTTGATAATGCCGTCAAACTCATTGTACTCGGTGTCCTCGAGCTCGGACCATGTATCAAGCATGGTGATATGCCCAGGGCTTGGAGGAGGCAAAGCTTTACACGCGATTGGCTAGTTGGGGAGTCGATGCTGTGGGCGGTCATGTGAAGGCTGCTTGATGGCTTGGAGCTTGTGGTGGACAAGTGGTGAGCTGTTTTGCTCGATCACGAGTCAAGGGTTTCGAGGCGGCGCACAGACGACGTTTCGTGATCGCCAATGGTGGGTGAGCCCGGCGGAGTGGATAGCAGGGGTGAATTTCAGCGGGGTTTTGGCGTAGGGCGGGGTTGAGGATGTGAGTGCATCACGACACACATCACGGGTTTTTTGGAAGACAGAAGAGAGGCAGAGAGATTTTGAAAGTGTACTTGTCATTGTGGCATTTGCTACTTCGTATTTCCTTATTTCCGGGGAGGGAGGTAGGCAACTTTGGGATAGGCGAGAATGGGTGTCACCGGAAATGCTATGTGGTATTATGTCTCCCAGTACTACCGCCTGCACCAGTGGTTGTTCGGTTCTTCAGACATCTCGAAGTACATAGAACAGGCTGATGTCGATAGATGAAACAGAGGGGACCTACAGGTATTTCAACGATGTGTGGCTTTCTCAATGCCAAGCCATCCGTGGCCTGTGTAGCAGCTGATGGTTGCTGTGGCGGCGCTGGGCGGGGATCCCAAGCCACCTGAACTCAGCTGCTTTTGGCACTCGCAGCGGGTCAACTGCAGGGTTGCACTGCAGCTGTCGACGGTGTGAGAGGGCGAGCTGCTGATGAGGGCGATGACGTCGGCCAGGCTAGATGACGATGCTTTGTCCAGTAAGCCGCCGAACGGCCAACAGTCTGGAGATGAACGCCGTCTTATCTCTTGGAACACAAAGCCCTCATAGCCTAGAACTGGGTCCAGCTCCATTTCCTTTTGCCCAACATCAGACCAACTCTGCTGGCCCTTATGATCGCGCTCATCAGACAATCCAATACAAACGCTGAGACCGACCTATCCGACCAGGCTGTCTATCAATCTATTGCCTACCTATTCTCACCACCGAGCTGGCTACCCCATCTCACCGATCACCTGCATCTTTTGTTGTGCCTGGAATATTGAATTTTGTCTACAGCACAACTCACTGCCTACGTAAAGTCGCAAATCATCTCCGCCATCTGCCTGAACTGGGACTTTGGGCTTTTCTTGTGCAACTTGGTTTTTCCATTCACGAATCTCAATCAATTGCGCAACCTTCATACCTGAACATTCACAACATACATAGCGCAATGGTGTCGGCGTCACTAACCACACACAGGGTCGCACCTCGTCCCATAGCTCCGAGTAAGTTCCTTGCGGAGGTTCCTTCCTCTGACTTGCCCCATTGTTTACGTCAACTTACAACTCTGCAGATAATACGGGCCGCCTGAGATATGCAAACGCCGAAGACCTTCCCGGCTACCCATCTGCTGGATTGACCGAGGGGAGCGCTGCTGCTGCGAGTGCTGCCACACTAGGCTGGGCAAACAGAAAACCGACAGAAGTCTGGAAGCCCAACTCCAACATCACCAGTACATCCGCCTCAACCGCCGCGCTCTTGGCTGCCGGCAACAAGACATCACCAGTCGGCCGTGAGAACCAGCCCGTTGGCACCGCCGGATCTCAAGCCGCTGTGGCTGCTAGTTCAGCACAACGGCAACCGAAAGCACCATCATCACCGCCATCGCAGTGGGTGTCGTCAGCGGCAAACCTGGCTTTTAGTGCTAACAAACCGCCGCCGCCGCCAACCATCACCGTATCAAATGCAGCTGGGACGACCCCGGAACCAGCTACTCTTGGGAGGCAGAACTCTCTGCGCGCCGCCAAGGGGGCCATGGCAGGTTTGAGACCACGAGCAAAGTCGACTCCTCAACCTGTGGTGCAAGAGACATATCCTGACCAAGCGAACTCCGCTTCGAATGCCCTGAGCGCTGCCACAATAGCACACCGACCAACGCTATCCGAAACGGGAGGAGCCGTTCCATTCACCACCATGGACAGGAGGATGTTTACTTCGAACCCACCCGTCAGGCTTGAAGTGGAGGAAAAGCAGAGAGCCGATGTGCTTCATGCTTCAGCAGTGGCCATGGCCAAGAGAATGTATAACCAACAGCAACGTCGGACAGAGGAGAGCACAAAAGCACATGCCCGATCCTCATCATTCCCCCGACACGATCCAAATCGCCCGCTAGATGCCGATGAAGAAACTCCCGTCATGCATAATAACCTGCAGGAGGCAGCATATCGATTGGCGCAGGAACGCCTTGCTAAACTGCAGGAGGAGCATCAGAAGAATCGGGACATGTCGGACTATTATGGAACACCAGGAGGGCCAAGCCGCACCAAGTTCGGAACGATCAGAGGGAGGCTCACTAGGAAACGCTCCTCTAGTGACGGAGATCTCCTTGAGGACCAACGACGTTCCCAGCACATCCGGAAGCAAATGTCGATGCTGAATAGCAAGCTGTCCGAGGTCGATGAAGAGAAACGAGCCAAGGACCGGCAAGCTTTACTTGCCGCTGCTCAACGCAACGTACGGGCTCAACTTCACGACATGGACGAGAAGGTGCTGGCAGAAAAGGGCGGAATCAAGGCGAAGCCCATGGGTGATTGGGAACGCAAAGCCTTGATAGCTGCTCAGACGAGGTTCGACGAGAACAATACTTCGTATCACTCTGGAAAGATTGATATCGGTGGTGGAAAGTTTATGGACCAGTCTGAGGTGGACGCGATTGCCGCCAGAAAGGTTCAACCTTTGCTGGACGAAATTAACGAGAGGGCTGAACGTGAACAGGCGAGATTAGAGGAGGAGCGTCTGGAAGAAGAGAGACGGCGGGAAGAGGCTGAGAGGGAAAGGCTGAGAGAGAAAGAGGTACAAGATATTCATAAGAAACTCAAAGGTATGTTACTTCTCTCTTCCAGTGTCGTCTCAGCTGCTAACATTTTCAAGACCAACAGAAGGAAGACGAAAAGGCTCGCAAAGCTGAGCTCAAGGAAGAAAACAAGAGACGCAAGGAGGAAATCAAAGCCATCAAACAGGAGCATAAGCTGGCGACGATGGAGGGTAAACAGAAGGAGAAGGAGGTGATTGGCCCCCCACCAGCAGTTGACACCGAAGAGACAGCCGTCGAGCCCGTCGCCGAGCCATCACCGGAGACAGAGGACAAGCAACCCACCACCGCGCACCGGCACGCCCTCTCCATCAGCTTCCCCCGCCGGAAAAAGATCACCAAAGAAACACCCTCCTCACCTGAAAAATCCCCCAAATCAGAAGGAGAATCCCACGGCAGAGTCCGCACCTGGCTTCTATCCCGGCTCCCCCGTCCTCGCGCCAAATCCTCCAGCGCAGCAGAAGGCCCCAACGACCCAAGCACAGCCAAAAAAGGGGCCTTCATAGGCGGAGGAGCCCTTGCTCGCTTGGCACACAACAACTCCAGCTCCCCATCCGTAGCCGGCTCCCAACCCCAGGCAGCGATTAACCGCCCTTCCACCTCGGGAGCAGACTACCTTGGAACTAGCTCCTCCCTGCACGAAGTCGCGATGGCAGGCAGACCACAACCCCACGACGAGCCCGGGGAGGCAAGTGGGCTGAACCCTCCTCCACCTGCGATTGTCCGTCCGGTTACGCCAGCGAGGACGATATCGCAAGTTAGCGTGCCTGTCTCGGATGTCTCGGAGAGGACGGTGAGCAGTTTGAGTAGTAGTGATGACGGGCATACGGTGGATAAGTTTGTCGAGGCTAGGAGTCAACTGGGGAGTCCGCTGACGCCGCCGAGGACGCTGGGTGGGAGCTTGGGGGTCCCTGTTGCGGGGAGCAATGGGAGGTCGAGTCCGTTGGGGAGGAGGGAGTCGAGGTTTTCGGAGAATTTGTCGGAGTAGGAGACGACTGAGACGATGACGGGGTGGTTGATGGGGTGGTTCTGGAGGAGGGGGTGAAATATGGGTACAGGTGGCGTCTTAGTAATGGTGTTGTGGCTGGAAGTAAGCAACTTTGTCACTGGTTTGGGGAATAGCGTCAAGTTTGTAATGTTGGGCAACGGTGTCCTAGCAATAACAGAATGCGCGGTCATTCTGTCTTGTATTTCACTTTTGTTTCGTTTATACGACCATTCATATACCCTGTGCTGTGCTTCCCTCGAGGCCCTTTCCCAAATGTCCCAAACGCCGACCAATGCGATATTTCCGTATTCATCCTGTCTCCTTATTTCATAGCCCCAAAATCCAGCTTCCTCGCCACTTTGCTCCCCCTATCCTCCCCCTCCAAAACCCCATTCCTCCTCTTCAAATCCGCCCCCATCTTTTCTTCCCCCCCCCCGCTCTTCCTCGGCAAATCTTCCTTTCTCGTCGGCTTCGGCTCCGTCCTCCACCACCTGTGCTCCAGCATCTCCCTGGCCGTGATCCTCTTCTTCGGATCCAACGCCAACGTCTTGACCAACAAATCCACCCCCTCCGACCCCACCGCCCCGAACCGTCCCATGTACGCCTCTTTTCCCCACACAGGCGTCACCTCGCTGGGGACGGTATACTGGCTCAACTGCGTCACGCCCGGCCAGTTATCTTCCGTCGGCGTCCCAATCTGCTTGCAGATCAGCGCGATCTGTTCCACCTCTGTGTTGCCCGGGAGATACGCGGTTCGAATGATCAGCTCGGCGAACACCATGCCCACAGACCATATATCCACCGCGCCCGAGTAGTGCCTTGCGCCAAAGAGGAGCTCAGGAGGGCGGTACCAGCGGGTGATGACCGTGGCCGTCATCCTCCACCCCGGATCGGAGAACCCCCTCGCCAGACCGAAATCAGCGAGCTTGACCTCCCCATCAGCGGCGATGAGTAAATTGTTTGGTTTGATATCCCTGTGCAAGACGTAATTCTCGTGGCAGAACCAGACCGCCCTCGTGAGCATGCCCATCCAGGCTTTTATATCCCCCGCGCCGTACCGGACCCTGTCGACGTCCTTGATGAGCATTTCCAGGTCCCCGAGGGGGAGGTACTCGAGTACTAGATTCAAGTTTTGGTCTTTGGAGGAGAAGACGGAGTAGAGCTGGATGATGTTTGGGTGGCCGCGGAGTTCTTGGAGGTGTTTCAGCTCTCGTACGGCGTCGGGGGCGAGGCCGTCGTTGTATTGGGCTTGGACTTTTATCTTTTTGATGGCGACGAGGGAGGTTGGGTCGGAGCGGGAGTGCCCCAAGTAGACGTTGGCGTAGGTGCCTTCGCCTAGTTTGCGGCCTTTGACGTATTTGCGCTTTTCGAGCTCGTTCATTTGCTCGATTGGGTCGAGGGTGAGGGAGGGAGGGGGGGTGGTGGAGGAGGAGGGGTCTTGTCGGGGGAGGGGGAGGATTGGTTTGGCTGCTGAGAGGGGAGCACCGCTTGGGGTGCCATTGCTGGAGGTTTGTTGAGAGGAGGGGGGTTGGCGTTTGTGAGGGGAGCTGAGAGATGGTTGGGGGGGGTAGACTAGGGGGGAGACGGCCATGGTCGCGGTGGCGGTGGTGAGGTGAGGTTGTGGTCAGTATGTATCGTGGGTTGTTGGAAAGTCAATCTGGAAAGTCAATCTGGAAAGTCAATCTGGAGTTCAGCCTTGCAGTAGCCGTCCGTGTGTGGGGAAGGTTTGATTCCATTAGGGCGGTGAAAGACGGGTGACAAAGCGTTGACAGGGGTCTGCTGTATCTTCGATCCGCCAAGCCCACTATAAATCGGCAGAGCCCCCGCCCGTTGGAAGGGTCCACACTGCAGCGCCGCTGGAGTCACTGCGTCACCTCACCAGCATGGCCCTTCCTGACGTCACGCAAACCGGCAACGAACCATCTGGTCATGCTCCTGTCAACTCATGTCCCTGTTGCACCACCACTTTGATAGCCAGTTCGGACTTGCAGCTTCCCGTGTTCCCGACAGAAGAGGTTTCGAGAGATAGGAGAAGAAAACACAGGCTGGCAGCACGTCTCTCTCTTGTCTGACCCTTAACTCCGCCCTTTTTTGAACACGCAAGCAAGCAATGCCGATGATGGGAACACGGCTTATAATACAGCTAAGAAGACGATGATACCCCCATAGCCGCGTTGTGTCTCCTCGGGTTTTTTTTGCTTTTCTCTCTGGTCCCATATTGAATCGCCTTGATTCCCACCTCTTGATTTTTCATCCCAGCTTTTTTTCCCACTCACTATTCAGAGTGTCACCCTCGTTTGTTGTTGAGGCGAGGTCGTCAACACCAACCAGCACTTGGAGGCACCACATATCAAACAAACAAACAACACACACACACACACACACACACACACACACACACACACACACACACTACCACTGTCTCATAGCACTAGACCGCTCACCACTCACAACCGCCCAAAATGCGCCACCTCCCCTACCTCTCCTACTACCTCTACCCCATCCTCGCAGGCCTCATCTGGCTAGCCACCCTCCTCGCCCTCCTCATCCACTGGCTCGTCCCCCCCGTCTCCCGAGCGCACTACCCCTCCATGGCAGCCTCCCAACAAATAGCCTACATCTCCGACGTCGGCGCCTCAACACTAAAGCCCCTCTTCATCACCGGCTGCGTCCTCACCACTGTTTTCCTCGACATCTCCTTCGCGGCAGATTACTACCTCCGCCACAAAGGCCGGTTGGTCCCCAACCAAACCCGGACGGAGACAGTCCTCGCCTTTCTCACCATCGGGTTCGCAATCATTGGAACTGTCGGGTTGATTTTACTCTCGGTGTTCGACACGGCGAGGTACCCGAAGCTGCACAATATTTTTTTGCTGCTGTTTATTGGGGGGTATGTGCTGTCGGCGATTTTTATTTGTTGGGAGTATCAACGGTTAGGTCAACGTACGCCCCCTCCCCCCCTTTCTTTGCCCCTTCCTTTCCCCCCACTTTCAGGTTACTGACCTTGTGTGATGTGATAGACTATAAACACCACCACCAACTCTCCACATCCTTCTGGATCAAACTAACATTTGTCATTCTGGAAATCTTGCTAGCGATCGCTTTTGTGTCATGCACATTCACCCAGCACTACAACGCCGGCGCGGTGTTGGAGTGGGTTATTGCTTTTATCTTTTCGGCGTACGTGTTTAGCTTTGTGGTTGATCTCTGGCCTGCGATCAAGACGCAGCCAAACTTGAATTTGCACAACCCAAGAGAAAAAGGAATGGTGTTTGAGGGGAATGGGGGGCAGGTGGTGAATGGGAATGGGTATGGGAATGGGGATGGGAATGGGACGGGGGACATGAGGTATGTCGGGGCGAGCGAGATGGAGGAGGGCGGGGGGGAGAGTAGCGGGAGTCATTTGCCCATTCAGGGGTATGGGAATGCAGTGGGCGGTGGGCCGGTGATGGGGTTGACGGATCACAGTAGCAGGCCGGTGACGAGGGAGAGGGGGTTGGCCGGTAACTTCTAATTTTCTGGGTTTTAGCTATGCTTGGAAGGGAGTTTTAGTTGGGGTTATCTGGTCTGGTCTGTTTTGGGAGAAGGGCGGGGGCTGGATATGGTAGATGTAGATACGATTCTGGTTTTTTGTCTGGTCGTGTCTGTCGGTAAATTGCATAGCCAAGAGCGCTTCTTCAGAACAAACGTTTGGTGTGGCCGGAAGTTATCCCTTCGTTTTATTTTCGAAGTCTGTGAACCCATATATTGCCGTGGAGAAACGTTCCTCGTACTCATCAATCATAAACATCAACGCTAGTCTTTTACCGCTTACTTACGCCCTCCCCTCGCCGTTCCTAATAACCATCCTCCCCTCCACCGCCTCAGCAGCCAAAAACCCCCTCGTCACCGGATCCTCCACCAACTGTCTATCAGTCCCCTGCTGCTGCCCCCTCTTCAAATGCCCAAACAAACAGCTCCACAAATCCTCCCCCTCCACCACCTCCCCCGCAATAACCCCGTCCCTCCCCATCAACCTCCCCAGCTTAGCCTGCTGCATCTCCAATCTATCCGCCTCTTCCAAATCCACCACCGCCACCACTGTCCCAGCCCTCTTTCCCTTCCCTTTGCCCTTCTTGCCATTATCATCATCCTGCTGCTGTTGTCCCCCCCCACCCCCAATATGCGCCAACCTCTTCCTCACACTCAAATCATATATCCCCTCCTCGACCGTCCCCTCCACCAGATACAACCACACCGTCGTCTCCTGCTCCTGCCCGATCCTGTCCACCCTTGCTATCGCCTGCAGTTCAAGCGCAGTGTTGAGCATTGGTTCACAGATGAAAACATGGCTTGCGTTGACTAGATTCAACCCCGAAGAGTGTGCTCGCGCGGATAATAAAAAGACTTCAACGGAAGGGTCGGATTTGAAGGAGGTGGTGCCGTTGGGTTTGTCGAAGGAGGTGTACCCTATGTGATACCTCTTGAAAGCAAGAGCGAGGACTTCGAGGAATTCCTTGTATTGGGAAAAGATGATTGATTTCGCTCCGGGGTCCGAACTCCGGAGCCAGAGGAGATGGCGGAGGAGGGTGTCGACTTTGGTTGTGTACGAGGGCCCGGAGGAAGGGAGGTCGATGGATTTGATTTGGGAAAGCTTTTCTGGGTTGAAGGTGCTGTAGATTGTTGTTGTGGGTTGGGATGGACTGGTGGGGGAGGAGGAGGATGAGGGCTGATCGTGGGGACTGGACGAAGGAGCAGGGGCTGCTGTTGTTGACTCGGGATGGAGTTTGAGTTCCTGAGGTTTGAGACTGATGTCGTGGAGGTTGTTGGAGTTGAGCTGCCTCTTGCAGACGGGGCACTTTCTGTGGGCTTTCCACCAGAGAGTTATGCATTCTTTGCAGAATTGGTGGCCGCATACCGTCAAAACTCCGATCGAGAAGGTAGATTGGCAGATGATGCACGTCTTGGACTCTTCGGAGCCTGATTCGGTGTCTTTCAGGTGGATCACTACGAACAGTGTTAGCTAGAGATTCGACATATAGTCATGATGAAGGGACTTACAGTATCTGTGCTTGGCTTCAGCAGCTGCAAGCCTCCCCTGCAAAATCTGCACTTGCTTGTCCGCCGTCCGAAGCGCCGTCTGAAGAGGTCCCTCCTCTCTAGAGCCCTCATAATCACCGACCATATCGGAAACCTCTTGAAGCTGACGATAAAAGGCCAACCGAGCATTGAGCGTATCCATGCACTTTTCTGTCTCCTTCTCCATGGACGCAACAGCCTTCGCCTGGTCATTCTGGTGATTAGTTGTCGACTTGAGCAGTGCATCGGCAATCTCAAGCTCGGCAGCAGCCCTTGCACTTCCTGAAGCCGTGTCTTGTCTCAGCTTCAGAGTCAAACCTCGCAGCTCTGATACCACCCCTCTCAATGAACTGAGTGCCTGCCCCTCAACAAAAGGAGGCTTGATAGCCTGGCTCTGAGCAAGAAGCTGGAGGAGCTTTTCGGGAAAAGGTCCGTCTCCCTCAGCCGCCATCCGAGCAGCAACTTTGGTCTCATGTTCCACCAAAAAGTTCTTCTGTCCAGTTACCGCGGCTGACCGGTCAGCAAGAGCGGTGCGGAGGACTTGAAGATAGACAAGAATCTCGTCTTGGAGCTTGGTCGATTGCTCGTACTCTTCACCAGTGACCTCGTCGTTATCTTCGTCGACCAGCGGTTTGAGAAGAAGCTGAATAACGTGCTCTCGCCATTCATCTATCTGGTTTGCTTGTTCGTCCAAAGCCCCGCCGATGTCTGTCAAGGCATCGACGATTCTGCTCGTCTCGAGTCCCGATTGACTGGGAGGCTTGAATTCAGGGATCTCGGCAAAATTTTGCTCGGCAGCCCGATGAGCCAAGTGCTCCATTAGCTTGGTAGCCTTCTTGTGGCTCTGAAGGTTGTGTTAGTCAGATCCCACCTTTTCCGGAAGAAGCAGAATTGTGATGACACACCTCGTGAAGAATCTCCTTTCTGATCTCTTTGGCGCGGTCATAGCTTTCCACCTCGAGCTTCTCCAGCTCTTTGAACTCATCCGAGTCCTTCACAGTCGACGTCTCATCTGTCTTGATCGTAAAGTATGCATTTCCACAGAAGAACACAGCAGCATGCTGTACCTCCAAAGCAGAACGCAACCTGCGTCGAGCCTCACCGACCTGAGCAGACCAAAACTCCTCACGCTCCCCCTCATCAGTCTCTTCATCGTCATCACTCTCTGATGTCGGGTTGCGAGGCTTTCGTGCTTTGCGTGCCTCCTCCTGGGCTTGTCGAAACTGTTGATGACATTCTGCAACCCAGCCATTGGCCTTATTCAGCACCTCCTTCCACAAAGCCAACGCATCTCTCACCCGCTTCTGACATGCTAGGATTTGTCCACGTGCGAGCTGCCACTGAAGCAGGTTACGTTGGTCGGTCCTCATGGCTGCCTCACTCTGTTCCAGCATGGCTTCCAGAACCTCCATGACCGTCCGCATAGGCGCAGACTTTTGGCCCAACGCTCGACGATTCCGACTCCCCACCTCGGGATGCAAAGCTGTCTGACGAAGTCGATCGAGAGCTACACGCATAGCACTCTGGACAGCGGGATCTTCAGGGTCCCAATCATCACTCAGCGGGTTGCCTTGCCTATCAAGACCGCAACTAGCCGTCAGTTCCTCGAAAAGACTCTGATAATGCTGTTCCTCGACAGCAGTAAAAGGCATCGTGATGACATAGCGCTTCTGAGGCGGGATCTTGATCTCGCTCTTGACCATGGATTTTGTGTGGCGCATAGATAGAAGTCGAAATAGCTCTCGGAATGACTGCTTGTCTCGCCTTGAGATGAGATTCCATACCTTGCCAGGGACTGCAAAGAGGTCGTAACGGAGGAACAGAAGAAGACCACGGAGATCCTTCTGGATATCGTCCTTCACTGGCGTACCAGTTACTCCCCAAGCATTAATCCTTGGAATTCGACGAGCCAGTTGCGCTGCGTTGGTACTCCGGTTTTCCACCATCTGGGCCTCGTCGATGCACACTCGCCACCAAGAGACCTGTACAAGAGGGGACTTGACCGATTCATATTGTTTCACGTTCCGCATCGATCGCACAGGCTCGTCAGAAGCTGCCCATATTTCAGTTCTTAGCACCTCGTACGTTGTGACTACAACATCCTGCTGAGCAAGGTACTCTGCTGAGAGTTCTTGGCCTTCTTTGGATGCTTTTCTGATTCCAGGATAGAACAGTACGTTGAGAGATGGTGCGTGACGTTGCATCTCCGAAAGCCACTGATCAAGCAGCGTAGTAGGCGTGACGATCAGTGTTGCCGATGATGCAAGTAGCTCCCTCCCTAGAAAGTGGTCGTAGACCATGACATTGGTTTCCGGGCGAGGATGCAAAAGCATCAGGCTGATGACTTCCAGCGTCTTCCCGAGACCCATTTCTTCAGCGAGAATCCCGCCGGGGGGGCCCTCCAGAGCCTCAAATAAACCGGTATCTGTTGTGACCGCACCGATCAGCGGGCTCAAATAGATCGTGTTGCCATCAACATCATGAGCCTTCGACCAAGAAATTGGTAACTCGGTCGAATCTGACGGCGGATTTGGCACGACACCGCCCACGCCGTTGTGTGCATCTTGAGACCACCGTACACCCTCCCGCTTTAGCAACCACTGGACGGCTCTCTGCTGGAATGGGTACAGTTTTGCCTCTAACCGTGGGACCTCCATTTTTGAGACCTCTGCATCGAAGCTTTGCTTGTCTGGGACACATGCAGCCTCGTAAAAGTCTTGAGGCGACCATGAAAGCGAGGATAATTTATCCTTGGGCAGGGCCAGCTCCGGGTACCATGTCGAAAACACGATATTTCGAAGCGTCTCCTGTGGCGATGTGGCAGCCCTTTTGCTGCTCCAAACTGTAACTTGTTCATTCCATCTGACCTCAATTGAGACCTCAAGACGGAGGCCTGGACCGCTCTGCTGGATGGACATGGCCACAGCGGTCCACAGACATCCTTCATCGCCGGGATCGACACCTTGAGTATGAGCCACCTCCAACGCTGGTCTCAAGGTTGGGGATGTTTCATCGCCTTGTAGCCGGAACGAGAGATGAAAGTTTGAGTTTCGGGATTTTGTCCGAGGTCCAATTATCAGTTGCAAATCGGACGAAGGGACGAATATCTGAGCCGATTGGGCAGTGAAGACCTGCAAGGCGATGATATTGCTGACATCTCGGGATGTGCTCAGTCCATTGTAGTCGAAATCTGGTGCGTCGGTAATGAGAAGCGACAGAGATTCCCGTGCTACTGTTATCACACCATGGCGTGATGTCTTGGCCCGTTTTGCAGGATGTTCTGAGCCCTGCTGATCCTTGGGGACCGACATAGGGGCGGACCGAAGCTGCGTCAGAAACGCTGTAACATTTTCGCCTTCGTTGGCAGCATCTTCCGCGGGGGATGATTTCCTTGACCTTCTCGCAGCCAAGCTTTGCGCCCTTCGGCTGGCCTTGGGGGGCATTCTTCCAAGATGAGTGACGAGAGATAAGTTACTGCCCACCCCTACCTACATAAGGAGGGGGCAGATTTCAATGAAAAGGTTGCTGCCACCTGGTAAATTTCCATAGAATATCAGATCTACGGCAGGTTAGTGACATGAGGAGTATAAAACGGTGTATTGTCAAGCTCACGTGTAGACAACTGTTTGTGGCCGACTGGGTAGTCTCGAGAATATGTCCAGGTATGTGAGCGACGTTGGTTGCCTATGCGAGAGCAAAAGGTCAAGGGTGATATAAAACCGATTACCAAGCTGATGTCGCCTTCTAGCTGGGATGGACATATAGCTGGCTGGAGCAGCTTTCACGATGTGATGGCTGAAAGGATCGAATCTTGGACTGGCCAGGTCGCTGGGATGAAAGGTTCATGCAGGATCTGGAGGAGTGTTGGGTCAAACGAGGAGAGCCAGGCAGGTCGAGGGGGGGCGGTAGCTTATAAGTGCCATATCAGTACCAGTGGTTGAATTGCAGCCTTGCAAGTGGAAGACCCCACCATAAGTTGAGATTGGAGCTCGGTGATTGGCTCATGCTTTGACCCCTCCAAACAGTGCCGCCTGCCAAGATCAGATTGTGGTCTGTGCGCTGGGACCTTGCATGGCAGTTGAACGGAAAAACTTTCGACTCCATGGAGCGCATTCGACCGACGAGAGGAAGCGATTGACTGCCGCCAAAGGACCCTTGAGGCTATCTCGACCGGGCGAGACCACATACTAGAACCGAATGTTAGGAGGAGTTGTTCCATAGGTTAGTTCCCCCGCCGCCACAGCACCTCCCTGGTACTATGAACCAACTAGTCCAGCCTCCTAATTCTCTCAACAGCGCACATGAATTCGCTACGACTCCATTCTGCCTTCGGGCTCCTGCTTCGACCTGCCGCCGCTGCCCCGGTTGGTGTTTCGACCGCTGTCCACGGACTCAGAGCCTTCTCTGCGACGACATCCTCACAATCCGCCGAAGCCGCCCCATCACCTGTCCCAAAACCCAAGACATGGATCCCGAATCCTACACCATTCGTCCCCAATGTCCAGACCTTCCTCACCCTGATCGGCCGCGATCTTAAATCACACGCCTCCAAATTTCCCTCATGGGATTCACTTTTCAGCTTAAGTTCTGAACAACTGAGGGAGCTCGGTGTGGAACCACCACGCTCACGGCGGTATCTCCTAAGGTGGCGGGACAAGTTTGCGAGGGGAGAGTACGGCATTGGTGGTGACTTGAAGTATGTCAAGGGCGGCAAAGCTATTTTGAAGCTGGTGGAGAAGGTCAAGAGCCCAGAGTTGAGGTTACGATATGTGGTCAACGTGCCTGAGGGCAAGGAGGTGGAAGATCTCCCGCTCAGCCAACAGGTCAGGGCGAAGGGTTTCAAAGTCAGGGGTGTCGACAAGATCACAGGTCCATATGTTCTACCACTGAAGGGCGGTAGGGCAGCTGTGCTCAAGGTGACGGAGGGCATGTGGGAAGACAAGAGAGGACACAAGGTGGATGGCGGTGAGAGAAGACGGGCCGAGGTCCGCTTCAAGCGGGGTGTTGCCGAGCGGAAGGCCCGGAGAGAGGCTCAGGGTCTCTATTAAGAGTATTGCTCTCTTGATGGCGCATCTGGATGGGTGGCCTGAGAGACGATCTCGTCACAATTGTAAAACTTGTACATTAATAGAATTAGACATTCTATACCCAACCGCCAGCGGCCTGTCTCTGTAGGATATCTCCACCGTCAACTCGGATCCTGACGGAGCTTGATATATTGGTCTAGCAGCTGGTGACTGATGATGGGAACGAGTACGAGTATCGCAATCTGGGTAAGGGTTGTGAATGCAACAGGATATGGGAACAGGAGTGCGATCTGCCATTCCAGCATTTTGGCAAAAGGGCTTTCGACAGCACCTTCCGCATTCGAACCACGGGGGACGCGAATGCTTGGTGGTCGGTGTCCGACTTTCCACTGCATTGTCAGCCTTTACTAATGGGTCATGGAGGGGCCTTGGGACCCCAATTAACTCAAACAGGAAGCACACTGCAACCTTAGGTCCAAAAACACGCCCAATTCACCAGTCCTCCAGGCTTCAGAATCAAAAAAAGACGCCGTGATGAGGCCGAACACGAAATGACTGGTAGAACATCCATGAGGGGGATGAGAATACTTAAATCCTAGCGGCCGCACCAGCAGGGCTGAGCAGAGCTTTTGCGACCCGCGACTTACGCCAACACCAGGCAACGAGAAAATGCACCTTACATAAGAGAAGGGCTCGACCCGACCCCAACGGCAAGCACACTTACGCGGCCAGTCTTCGCTTTCCGACCTTGCTTCGTCGTCCACCATCGTCACCGTCGCTACCTTCTTTTGCTCGCCATGGCAGTCATTTACACTGACGTAACTTGTTGAGTCGTGGGGGGAAGGATGAACCCCGAGGGTTGCCAGCAGCAAACAGGCAGCAGCAGCAGCACTCAGTCCCTCGACCGATCTCGCAACCGCTCGCGCTCACTCTGGATCAGCAAAGCAAATGAATGAACCGTCAATTGGGTTCCTCTTACGAGAGGGGGGGTGTAGAAGAGAGTTTGGTCGTCCAGAAGGAACTTTGACCAACTGGGTTGGAAACCTGGTTGCCATCATTTCGAACGCCGCGGGCTAAACCTCTTCCGGATACATCTGCACGCCTTCTCGTCACTGCAACACAAAGTGGTATCGAGCTTCAGAATGGGCCAGGAGAAAGAGAGCAGGACGGAGTGATATTTTTGGCGAGGTCATAGTCGGATCATGGAAAGTGCCACACACGGCAACGAGGCAACGATTTGCCCCTACGATACGACCAGACATGCCAGTACATCGACACGCACCGATCAGGAAGGACGGAATAACCGGTCGAGGAGATTGCATTGTCTCCTCTGGGCTTCGAGAGGAGGACCAAACGGAGACCTTGAATCTGTTCGAACCGGCCTTGGGGCGAACGCCAACACCACCTGTTCTGGCCATGGACTTTCTTTCCCCAGTGTACCTGCATATGGAGGTGTTAGGTCTATCCACGGAACCTCGGTCATCGCCAATTCTTTCGCCGCAGGATGCCCACTTTCAAGACACCTATGAGATCAGAGCTGTTCGGTGACCAGAAAGGTATGGTATATCACTCTTGAGGGTGTCTGCTAAGCTACCCAGACCATGCGGAAGAAACTTGCTTCGGGGTACAATCCATCCGAGTGAGCTATTATTCATCTCGAGTTGATGAAGTGGTTACATCACAGCGAATACTACAGAGACGGCGAGTTTGGTGCTATCGCTCGAGGCTTGGGGCAGGACCATGCCTGTTGAGGCTGTGGATGCACCGGTACCTGATCTGAAAACAGGCGTTGTTGTTCTCGGAGGGTGTGGGCAAGCCTGCGAAGAAGCGGGATCGTGATTCGAACGGATCAACACACCCCTGAAGGCTACTCAACGGCGGACCATCATTTGTCCAGTACATCACCATCCGGGCCGTCGACTAGCAGGTTGTACGCAAAGCACAGCCCAGGCTCGACTTTGACGCGGGGACACGGCGGGGATATTCTTCTTTCGGAGAAAGTTGACTCTTTTGCTGCTAAACTTGTATGTGCGGCTGAAAATCGAGCATCGTCAAAAGTCTCGGGGTTGAGAAGTCTAAGCCCCAAAGAGCAGAAACTCCACGCGGGGAGCAAGAGAGCGGGTGAATCGGGGAACGGACGGTCTTGCTTCGGGTGGCTTGTTGGGCATCTGCGGAAAACTGCCGCCGCAACCGTTGAAAGTTGCATTCACCCTCCTGCGCCGCCCCAGGTCTTGGCACTTATCGGCTGTCGCTACGCCGCTTCGGCTGCCCGTTCTCCTCGGACGGGAGACGGGAAGTTTGAAGAAGACCAAGACACGGAGCAATGGTTCAGCTGTTCTGGTCTCTTCAGTCTTGGTGTGCTTGGAAGGTAGGCGGGCATATTCAAGATCGGTATTGACGGTATACCGCATGTAAGTGCTGGTAGCAAGCAACTTCTCATGGCACGTTACGTCGAGCATCCGGCCTGCTATCAATATCATTATCTCCAATATAGCATCCAATCAGATCCTCTTCACAACGCCGCCATTCTCATCATCTTGCTTGCTTGTGAACATGGTGTAAGTGCGGGGTGTCGTGCACAAGACAAGGGAGCCCTTGGCGCGCAGATAAATTTAGATAAGTTCCAGCTGAATCGGTTTAGTGTTGCTCCGTTTCACCTTTTTTATTCCTTTCCCCGACCGAACATGTCAGTTGAGACAGAAATCCCATGTCTCTGACAGATCACGGGTAAAGTGTTATTCGCTTCTGAATCATTTCCATGCGTGGTGATTGAGGAGCGGTCAAAAAACATGCCTCCACGTGAGCCCAAGCGAAGAAGAGAAGTCATTCACACGAGACCAGCGGACCAATGGCGTGTCAAGGAGGTAGGTTGCTACCAATTGAAAACGCACCAATTCTCGTATCACCTGGGGGAGTGGCAGGGTAGCGCCTGCTGGGAGGGATGGGATTGTGTCAACCCCCCGTGCAGATATTGTATTGATATTGGATGGAACTGGTACCTACCTGGGAGTCAATCATTGGGATGAGTGGGATCGAAGACTGCCGCAACATAGTACTAGCTTCAAGAAGAGACCAAAAATCGCATCCAAGTTGAACACTGCTTGACTAAAAAAACCGTAGAAACCCTCTCCAAGTGGCCACTGTAACGCAAAAACAAAAAAAAAGATCTAATTCAGGAAACATCACGACGTCGGCGGCGTCTCGGCCACACTGTCACCAGTTGTTTGCCAAGTTCGATTGGACGGGAAAGACTTCCAGCTGAAAGAGACAACCTGAGCGGTCCGCTTCCCGGAAGTCAAACATTGTTTCTCCATGGTCGCGGCAATGGGTCTCTTGTGTGTCTCGCGGGAGGGACGGTGGCTCATTTTTTATTTTCCTTCTCGGGCCCATTCAACCGGCCTCGGATGTATCTAGCATGAATTTATTCTGAATTTAGAAACCATCTGTCGATGATTCCATCTCTCTCAATAAAACAGATTGGTCTTCTTTTTTTTCTTGCGAGACCCGAGCTATCCTATCCTATGCTACCCACCCACCAACTGCTTGGCCACGATGGCGATCATTTGGATGTCACGGCGGGGTTTCTCCGGCAATCCGTAGATAGATACGCTGTCAATGATTGACCATTGTCCCCTTGAAAGTTCGCTTGTTCGTGGCAGTGCTGTTCTTGACTGTTTAAGCTTATATTTCTCCCGGAGTAACTTGTACACACCGAACGACGCAATAGGGTTGCAAGGGAACAACAAGACAGAAGAAGAGGCTCTATGATCATGGTGACAAACTGCCAAGTTGCCGAAACTGAAGCGAAGCTAAGCACCACGATGGTATATGTTGATCCACGTATAGGGTTGGAAGTTGACTGGATGCTCCGTATTCCCGCCCGCAAAAAAAGATTTACACATAGTTTACAGGGGTGATAACTGCCAAGATATATCTCTTAACAGAGAGATCTGTCTGCCTGCTGCACAGTGCTTTTGGTTCAACGGTGTCATGGCTCATCGTTGGTAAAAAAGAGCCCCCAACCACCCGCAGACAGGAGATTCCTCATGAACCCCATCGGTATGGTATCGCATCTATGCATCTTCTGTGGCACAAAAGCAAGCGGTGGTGGGGGGAAGGGGCAACGGTTCACCCACGATCAGATGGAAAATATATGAGCCGCAAGGGGTTGGCAGACCTGGGGTGGTTCATTCTTTGTGATACCACCACGCCTTGCGCCCAGGTGATCCCACAGCCTGGTTGCTTCAATTGCGTTAATAATTTCGACGTCGTACTCGACGGCACAGGCATATCTTGGTCCCCCAGCAGAAACTCAGCTGCCGAAACAGTCAGAGTCACAATCGAAGAATGGTTGATGAGTGAGAGACCCCACAGTTTATTGAATCCTTCCTAGACGAGGCTGTGGGAAGAACACCTCACCAGATGTATTGTAGAATGCATCATCTTGGGTCACCGAATCGATCGGTCGGAAGGTTGGCCCGAGATGCGATGGGACTTCATCCGCAAGATGCCGTGCCGTTTTGGAAGAATGCCCATCCTCTAGGAGGGGAAAAATGTCTCTGGGCAAAGAGAAAGACATGTAGTTGATGCTTAATGCGGTTAATCCTCGCGAACCAGAGAGAGAGCGCGAGAGAGCTGACTGTGGTGTCGTTTAAACAACGATGTCAGGGACCCCACTGCAGGTCCCGCAGCGAAAAACCCTCGACCAGGGTTGCCCTTGCGTTACCCACTAAACTCTATCTGTACTAAGCCCCGCCAAATTGACTACATTTGGGGCCTGTGATTGGCTGACCGATACAATTACCAAATCTGCAACGGTCCTCCCACTTTCAACAACTCTTCCATCCGGCAGAAGAGAAGGAGCACAGCACACCTCAGCTGCGAGTGATCCATCTTGTTCCTGAGAATCTGCACGCGACCAAAAGCAAAACCCAGACAGGCTCTTCTTCCTTCTCCGCCGAGAGAGTCATCATCTTCTTACGCATGCTAGCCAGGCTGCCATGAGAGAACCTGGATGCCTCACCGGGAGGCTGCCCCTGCCGTGAACGAGCTTTCTCCGGGTTTGGTGACCGAATGCATGTGTGGGGGAAGGAACTGCCTCCCGCTCTCTCGCCCAACAAACCCAGCCTCCTCGGGACGTTCTGAGGGGTCTTTACTCCACATTATCAGATGCTGGTCACTGATCAGCAACCCACCGCCGACCCTCTTGAGTTTGCTCGCCTTTCTCAATGCCCGCTTCTGCTTTGCCCTGATCTGGCAGCGAGATCCCTCAATGCCCTACTCTTTCATTGTTCTCTGCCATGAGGGCCAATGATTGGTCTGGAATTCCCTAAATATACTTCTTCTCTGCTTTCTATTTGTTCCTTTTTCCATCGTTTCCCATCCTTGTCTTACTTGACCCCCGTGCCGAGGTGGAAACACCAGATTTCCCATTCAGCGCATAGAGGATTGCCCGGTGTTCGGGTCAATTTATCTATCGTATTTCTCGTTTCTTGTTGCTGGGCAGTGTCGTGTCTGCGGAATACGTCTTCGCTCAGCTTGACTGGTTACCTAATCAGCTGTCTGAGCGCTCCAGGGACAGCACACATTGGAATGAGGCTGGGTTCGCCTCGAGCGGGACCATCTGGTAGGTTGTCTTGGTGGGTGGGTGCAGTGCCGTCACTCTGCCGATGGGTCAGGGGGGAGCTCAGATACGTACCGCCCTCTGCTCTACCTTGAGGCAAGGTACCATGTCAAGGTGAAGACGGGAGGGGAAGGCGAGTGGGGAGCGGAACACAACCAAAGTCACTTTTTCCTCTTGTCCCATCCACTCACCGTTGACCAGGTACCGACGACCAGACACCACTCTGTCTGTCTCGCCGGACACGCCCCCCCTCCACTCCAGCCCACTGGCTCAAGCTTCCTCTCCCCCTCCCAGTAGCCTGTGTCCACACGCATCTCGACTCTCTCAAACGACGGCTGCTGCTTGACTGGCACTTGCAGCCACCCTCACCCTTGCCCATCCACTCGCCTACCCATCCCTGCCTCCCGTTCGCCATGAGTCTTGGTCTTGAATCCACAACGGGTGCCAGGGGGAGTAGGACGAGAGGGTTTGACTCTAGACACACCCAGATCATCAGCCCGCTCCACTACTGACCTTCAACCCGCTCTCTTGGCCTGGTCACCGGTGCCGGTTTAAGACAGTTTAAACTCTTCGGATTGCCCGTCTTATACGGTCTTCGCAAGCCCTTTGCGTGTCATCCTTCTTGCACCCCTCGACTTACACCTACCTCCATTCGCTGTCCTCGTACTACGGCCGACGCCGCAAATACCGTCATCATCGTCTTGCTCGTTCCTTCAACGTCGACGCTAAGCCCTAGAGACCCTGGCCTACTATTCCGAGTTTGGTGACCGTTTGTGATCAAGGCCTCAAGGCACTCACCTCCTCGACAGCCTTACGGGGCTCTTCATCGTCATCATCCTTGACGGAACTTGGTATATAAGAGATCTTGAATCTCCCGACTGGACGCCACAGAATCGCAACAGAAGATACAAGCTCGAGCATCGTTCCAGAAGCATCATCTTGTAGATCCTGAGCCAATATCTTGAGATTCTGAGCGCAGTCGTTTGACCTGTGAGACTCGTTTTTTCTCTTCATTATTTTCTTTCAAGTCTTTAGAATGTTCCCATACCAATACTCTCATGATACAGATTACTCGGGCATCGACCCAGACTACACGGGAAGCTACCCTGACGAGTCCTTGGTAGACTGGGACGGAGCTCAAGGCAGCACCGTCTACACACCGGCACCCAGCAGCAGTTCGAACAAGAGCCGCAGCAGCAAACGGTCCAAGTCAAGCAAACTCACGAATTACTCGGGCTCAGACACCGAAACAGAAGAAGCCAAGATGTCTTCACGATCATCCAAGTATTCGGGTTCCACCAGCTCCAAGAAGGAGAAGTCTTCGTCACCGAGATCAAAGGAGTCTGATGACTGGAGTGCCGTGACTGACCCGGAGATGAGACGCCGGATTCAAAATAGGATTGCTCAGCGCAAGTTCAGTACGTCTTACCCCGTTTTGTTACTCTCTTGGCATATACTTACATGGTGATACAGGGGACAAGGCCCGTGAGCAAAAGGAGCGCGACCAACGCGATGCCCTTAATGAGCAATATGCCGACAGTAGCTACCGCATCCGCAGTGCCGATGAGTTGGTGGACGAAGGGGATCTGGCATGGGGCAGCTTCAGCATGGGCCACATGCTCTCTCGAGGGCATGAAGCTGCCAGTGCGGGGCAACGGACTCACAGTGGCGGGAGCAGAAGGGAGTCTGACCTCGTGATGGATCAGGCCATGTATAGCAGCCACAGCATGAGCCCTTACCCACCGACATCAATGGGCATCCCGACGACCTCGGGCTATACCATGGGGGGGGGTGCCAGCTGGGGCGGGGACGGGGCAAGCAGCGGAGGGGGTGATGTTGGGTACTATGATTCGCCTTATGGTGGGTACTATGATGGCACGGAACACCGTTGAGAGAGAGACACATGGAGAGGCTATAAAAAGTGGTGAGTTTGACAGAGGATGGGAATGTTGAAGAGAAGCTGACAGGGTTCAAATAGGAAGGTGAAGTGGGGAAGCAAGACAGTGTTTGAGCTTGGAGAGGAAATGATATGCTCTTCAACGGTAAACTTTCCCCCAGTCGATGGAGAGACTGCGAGACACTTTCTTCTCTTTGGTCAGGGCTCATGCAAGGAGGTTTCTTTTCAGCTTGGTTTTCTTTCTGTTTTTGGTCACGGCGATAGAAACATTTTGACCTTTTTGGTGGTCAGTTTCCTGTTTTGTAAGGGTTCTTCATTCCTCTTGATCATTTTGGGATTTGTTTGCTTCTATATCGGACAGGTTTTGTTTGATCTTCACTTCCTGTTTGTTTTTTCTCTCGGATGGTTTAACGTTTAGGTATACCCCCTTCCTGGGACCTTTTGGTTGGACGGATGTTTAGATTCAACTCATTGGTTATTTTTTCTCCAAGGTCACAGGTTGGTTTGGGTATATGGGGATGGATGGATGGGAAT